TAATGTCAGATTGTATTTTGCATGTATATGTTTTCGCAATAATATTTCTATTAAACAGCAGCCGGTTTTGATAAAGATCTTTCAGAATATCCTTCTCTTTATATAATAACGATAACATGTGAATTTCAGCTTATATGTGTTTTACTTAAAAGTATTTTTTAAGCATTTCGACCCAAGCAAGTCGGAAGTGCTACTAGCAGGCAAGGGGTTACAGAGAGTGAAAGTAAAATAAAAGAGAGGGTTATGGGGAAAGGATAAGAAGAAGAACGCGGACCAAGATCAAGGCATCAGAAGATGTCGATTGACATTACATTTAAATTTTTGAAGATTATAGTTATCAGGGAAATAAGTAAGAGGAAGGGAGTTCCACTGCCGGGAAGTGCGAAAGAAGAAGCTGTTGAAGTAGAAGAGACGGCTACATTTAACTGTTACAGCAGTAAAAGGATGGGACCGATACATCAACCTAGTAGCACGCTTAAATTCATGCAGTCGGGACACCAGTGAAAATAGCTCGTCGGGGCACCAGTGAAAATAGCTCGTCGGGACACCAATGAAAATAGCTCGTCGGGGCACCAGTGAAAATAGCTCGTCAGTTGCCATGAAAATATTTGTAGAATAAATAGAGAGAAACCATATCATATCTGTGAGAAAGTGACTGGAATTGAGATGCCAGGTCAGCACCGATCACATTGCATATCCGTCTTCGGATATTATCGGGAACCTTGGGGTGAACAGCGGGGTCACCAGACCAGATATGGCAACAGTCTTCCATGCAAGGATGAATGATAGATTTGTAGATGTGAAGGATGGACTCAGATGAGAAAAAACATGGCGCCACACAGAGTTTACGATAAATAATAAAGTTTAAGATTCTATTATGTCATGAGGGCTTTTTCATGATTTTTACATTGATGTTCACCTTGTACAAGGCCCGAAAGCCACTCGAGATAGACGGAGTCACAGTTTATGCGGATATGTGAGGAAGGTAACGGTTAACCCTAGACTTGAACAGGTTCAGATTACAATGACTGGAGAAGCATCCTCTTGGGAGTCAGTTCCACAAAGCAGCCGTTCGTGTGAAGAAGCTGCTTGTGTGGACCAATGGAATACGAAGGGAATGAGGGTATCATATTGTAAATAACAGCCTATTTATTGATACTGAGATACTGAAGCTGTGGGGTTGTTAAACATTAATTCTAGGCAGAAAAAGGGTTAAGCCCAAAATGAAATGTAAACTGGAAGGTAGAGAGAATGGAAGACATTTTTCTTGGTAATGTAGAAGTGAGAAAAAAAAATCCACCTGGGCTGTTTCACCCTTACTAATTGAAATGATGCACCAAGAGTTTACTTTTTGTATCTATCGAAAATTTGGCATGTGGGAAAAGCAAATTGAGAAATGGCTTTATCTCCTTTTTGGGAAATTCGAAAAATACATGTCATAGACAGAATTATAGTTTCGTTAGCGAAAACGAATTGAGAAATGAAAACAGAAAATGAACCTTCTGCGAGAAGTAGGATTATGAAAACGATCCGTCATAACAAGCATGTGGTTGTTTTCGCTAAAACGGAGACTGCCCAAGGATCCATCAGCGTATCGCTTTGTTGAGAATTTAGGTAAACAAATATATTTTTCATGACGAAAACAAATTGGGAAATAATTGTATCTATCGCTCGGAAGGTTAAAATGAAAAGGTGATCTAATTTGTGTTTTCGCTGGACAGGTGTGTCCAGGAAAGGAGTCAGAGAAATTAAATTAATGAAGAGAATATACGACGCTCTCTCTCCAACGCACTTTAAAAAATTAAATTTGTCACAACTCTGAGAACTGGGCAGAGTTAGAATACCGAGAAAGGAGTAAAAAGGGGCAGAAATTAGCCCCGCCTGTGTGGAGCAGCGGTACATGATGTGAAGTGAAGCAGGTTGGAGAAGTGTGGAGCAATCCATGTGACTACTCCCAAGGAAGGTGGATAATTCGCCAAATTTGGAAAGTTGACTAAGAAAGCAGAAATTTATGAACAAAGAAAACCATTATTGCAATTAATATATATTGGGAATCATCGAATTCCTAGAACCCTTCGACCCCAGGTCAGTTTTGGGCCGAAGTGCGTATAAGCAGATGACTTTGGGGAGCTCATAGACTTTGTACTGAGAACCCGCATCGAGTGCCTCTGAAATCCATGTCAGCTGCTACCAGATTTCCAAATTACAAGTCTTTGAACCCAGCTCCTCCAGAAGTTTAGACAAGGCCTAGTGTCACTATAGAGATTGATGCGGGTAGGGTTATTTTTTCTTGTACCAAGAGCTATATAATCCAATTGAAGTTTAACCCCACGAATCTTTCAATTAATTTTTCGTCATGAAGATATTTTTCCTTAATATAGCTTCCGCCACGGCTTGAACCAGCGCTGCGAGACTACGACCTTCGATTTTCCACCGCTCTGAGACCAAGAACGCAGCATGGGCAGAGTTGGTGTGAATCGAAGCGGTCAGCGACCACCAACCAACCTGAACCAGCGTCATTATTGAGCAGCGCAGAGTTAGCCTTGGTTATGATGTCGTTCTAAGACTTGAGGACTGAGCCACTAAACTTGCTTACACATGGATGTAGGCTGCGGCGAAAGGCGTTATATTAATTGCTGACTGTGACCAATGATGTGACCCTATTGGTAAGGGGTGTTATATTATTTAGTATTTACTTTTAATTTCAGGTTTATAAACATAGCTATAGTAACGGTAATGGTAATATGAACCGTTTTCTAATATGGAAACATTCGGCACTACTATCAGTAAAAATTTATCAAATCTTTCTGTTAAAACGATTTTCTGGTAAATAGGTTTCTGTTATTGCTATTTCCAGTACTGGCGGAGGTTTCCTTCCTAACCTTTTGTTCGAAGTGGCGTGAAGCGTCAACATCTTGAATATGCAATAACTCTTACTTCGAGGTACATGTGACATCTTTTTTAGTTGCTTTTGTTGAAAGGCCTCAAGTGATTTGGTAACGTTTTTTTTTTTTGCTTGTGAATCCGTAGCGCCAGTACACGAGGATCGAAGAAGGATGGTCCTCCCTAAAACCTACAGACTTTTTTTTAATTAATCATTGATCTGGAAAAGCGGTTATATACGGTTGGGATATTTCTGAACGGGTTTGGTGCCTTGCATAACATTCATAGAAGAGTCGAGATCTCAAACGGCTCTGTTTTTTAGATTACTGTTTTGGCTTTGTAGCACCTTGCGTTGTTGAAAAAAAAAACTACGCCTATTCTATGTTCAATTTCCTTATCTCCTATACTAAATTTATTATAACTGATCCATGCACCGAAGTTCTGGCATTAAGAAAAATATACCTTCAAAAGAGAAAGCAGATGATTAATGTGGACATAATGTTGGAAATTGCGAAAAAGTTGAAACGAAACTGCAGAACAATCAAAAAAGAAACTGAAAACACTGACATGATAAGAAAAACAAACTTTCTCTAAAAAGGTCACCAAAGGAAATTTGAGAAAACTTAAAATGTAATATACAAAAGAAGTAGATTGGCGAGCAGAAAAATATTTGAAAAAGCTGACGTTACAAATGGGAAGCCAGAGGGAAATATGTCGATGCTCAAGAACATTACTTAAATACATGAAAACAATTAAACTGCCATCTTTAAATAGAAAGAAACATTTACGCCGAATGAAGAGGTAGATGAAAACAGATTCACCAGCATTAAGGAATATACAACTACGGGGTACTGTTTCGGTTAATTTATTTTGTTTGGACTATAAAACCTGCAGGCTGGGTTAGAAGTCAGGTTTTTCATGGAAACTCTCAACCAACACGACATAGAGAACAACGAGGGTTGATATCATAGATATTAAAATTATTCTACCCTTAAAATGTTGATAATGACATCAAGATCAGTGCAACAAGGTTACGTTATTGTAAAGTCTTCGAAAAATGGTTTTTGAATGGTATCGATTACAACTTATAGTTTCGTGGTTGTAATCTGTAGAACGTAGGGTACCATACATCCAGGGAACTATACAGGAAGGGTACTATACTCCTAGGTTACTATACACGCATGGTACTATACAAGCAGGGTACTATACACGCAGAGTACTATGCACACAGTGTACTATACATGCAAAGTACTATACACGCGGGGTACTATATAAGGTACTATACACTAAGCACGCAAGTTAATATACACCCAGGGTACTATACACGCAAGTTAATATACACCCAGGGTACTATACACGGAAGGTGATATACACGCAGGGTACTATACACGCAATGTACGATATTTGCAAGGTATTATACACCCAGGCTACTATACACCAAGATTACTATACATGCAGAGTTCTATGCACGCAGGGTACTATACACGCAGAGTTCTATGCACGCAGGGTACTATACACCTAGGGTTCTATACTCGCGGGGTACTATATTTCCAGATTACTATACACGCAATTTAGGATCCTTCATATTCTACAAAGCTGATTATTGACCTTCTTGCCAAAAGATTTTTCAAAGACATCAAATTAAAAAAAAATCCCTAGTCTGCCTAGACGTTAATCGAATAAAAAACTTGTAGATCATCCTTAAAAGAAATCGATATGAAGAATGGAAAGCAACAAGCGAAGACGATCTGTGGAAATGAAACGACAACTGTAATAATGAAACAGTCGAAACAGTAGAAAGGTTAAAGTCAATCAATGAAAGTTATCGAATATGATAATATAAAATATCCAAGTAATCTTTGATTATGATACATGGGATATAGTGTTAATCAAATATGCTTCTATGGCTTATATCTTTTCGATTTATTTAAAAAGGAAACTTTTGTTTCACTTATTTGTTTGCAAAAAAAAATGGATGCTGTATAACAAAATTAGTTTCAGACTATTTAATAATAATGATATTAAATATGAACTGAAACTTACAAGGTATACTGCTTATATAAGTATACATATATTATTCAGAAGCATCAGTTAATAACAATTGGGGAAACATTGATTTAAATAATAAAAGAAAGAAAGAAAGAAAGAAAGAAAGAAAGAAAGAAAGAAAGAAAGAAAGAAAGAAAGAAAGAAAGAGAACAAGTATGAAGTTTGATTTGATAGATAGATAGATAGATAGATAGATAGATAGATAGATATGATTGGAGAGATGGATGGATGGAAAGAAAGAAAGAAAGAAAGAAAGAAAGAAAGAAAGAAAGAAAGAAAGAACAGGATTGAAAAAGGATCAGATAGATAGATAGATAGATAGATAGATAGATAGATAGATATGATTGGAGAGATGGATGGATGGAAAGAAAGAAAGAAAGAAAGAAAGAAAGAAAGAAAGAAAGAAAGAACAGGATTGAAAAGGATTTAAATAGATAGATAGATAGATAGATAGATAGATAGATAGATAGATAGATAGATATGATTGGAGAGATGGATGGATGGAAAGAAAGAAAGAAAGAAAGAAAGAAAGAAAGAAAGAAAGAAAGAAAGAACAGGATTGAAAAAGGATTAGATAGATAGATAGATAGATAGATAGATAGATAGATAGATAGATAGATAGATATGATTGGAGAGATGGATGGATGGAAAGAAAGAAAGAAAGAAAGAAAGAAAGAAAGAAAGAACAGGAAAGAAAAAGGATTAGGATTGAAAAGGATAGATAGATAGATAGATAGATAGATAGATAGATAGATAGATAGATAGATAGATAATGAATGCACTGAAATAAACAGAGGCAGATAATTACAGACTTCAACAGAAAGAAGCAAAGATGGAAGGAGTGGTATTGATTTAAACAGGCTGAGACGAGCAGATGTAGGCGGCTCTTAAGTAGAAATCCATAATTATTGTTTTTTTTTTATTTTATTTTTGTGGTATGAAGGAAAGTTTATGAGATCATTTTTGCTAGTGAATTTTAGGCAGACTTTTGTTTTTTGGATCATCTTCAACGCGATTTAACATAAACGAACAACAATCTATTGTTTGTTTGTTTCTGATTCATTAGTAAATTTAATTTTATTTTTGATGTTTAGTTTATTTTCAAGATCAAGTAATATTGCATTGCGTGGGTATATTAATAACGTATCATCAATATATCGCAAAATGTTTTGAAAATGACCAATTTCTAGAAATTCTAAGAAAAGACAGGTTAATACACCGTTCACATGTTTCCCAAATTTTCCCTCTTATTATACGTACATACATATACACAGGTAAGACATCTTGAGATTTAGATGAAGAATTTTACGAAACAAAAGATTTCTTTATAGTGATTGTCCAAGCGTAGCACAAGGCCGAATGTATGGGGCACCCAGTGAGAATCGAACTCACCACTCAGTCGTAAATGATCTAGCAAGACAAACTTCCTAACCGATACACCACGTCGATGTGCCCAAAAGGAAGTTTACTCCGGTAGTAAGGGGGGGGGGTCTGCTTACAGAACCAGGAGTGATTTTCCAAGCGTAGCTTAGATGTGGCACAAGGCCGAAAGTATGGGGCACCCAGTGAGGATCGAACTCACTATTCAGTCTTAATCGTTCAATCAAGACAAGCTTGCTAACCATTACACCGCCTCGAGGCGCCCTCAATGATTTTCTAAGCGTAGCTTAGATGTGGCTCAATACCGAAAGTAGGGGGCACCTAGTGAGGATCGAACTCACTTTTCAGTAGTAATTGATCTATCAAGACAAGCTTGCTAACCATTACACCACACCGAGGTGCTCCCCAAAAGATTCCTTTATATTACAATATACTCAGTACATAAATCGATCATCGTAATAGGCCTGGCTATCATTTCGATTTGCTGTTTATATTAAAAGATAAAGTAACTTATTAAGGCGAAAATGTATTGATAGTACTAATTACAGAATCCTTTACAGTAAATTCGCACCACGGATTATACACAGGTAAGATATCTAGAGATTTAGATGAAGAATTTTACGAAACAAAAGATTCCTTTATAGTGATTTTCCAAGCGTAGCACAAGGCCGAAAGTATGGGGTACTCAGTAGTAAATGATCTAGCAAGACATTTTCTAACCAATATATACCACGTCGATGTGCCCAAAAGGAAATTTACCCGAGTATGTCTCCATGCCTTACAAAGTTACTAATAATACAATTGAAAAATAATAAAAATAGAAATAAAAATATACGCGATAAGAAGATATACACCTGAATACTTATCACGTTAAATGTTATTTTTAGTGTATTTGAAAAGACGCTCCGTTTATTTATTAAACCGTATGTATAATTCAAATCCTGCCGGAGATCGTAATTTTTTCTTTAAAAAGATTTCTCGAACATTCAGGCCGGTAGATGAAAACAAATAAATATAATGTTTAATATATAAACGGAGCGTCTACCGGTATCCACTAAAAATAACGTTTAACGTGAAAAAAAAATCTGTCGGATTAATAAAAAAAAAAACATTCTAAAAACACCTAGATACATCAGACGTCAAAATTAAAATTAAAATTTTGGAGCATTTCTGTATCTTTAACTTTTAGATGTAATCTGTAACCAGCTTTTGCTGTATTTCTCTCTCAAACTTTTCCCTTTTTATAAAAGTGATTTCATCAATGAAACCGTTATTTGTCGGATGTTCCTTCTAAGAAAGAAAACCGCCTCTATGATTTTTTTTTTTTTTTTTTTACCTTGCCACCGAGTCGAAAATCTGGATTCTCTTCTTATTCACGTTTCTTCTGCTCTCCTTCCTTCAGTCAGTCAAATCTTACCAGGCGCGGACAACAATCAGTATTTCCGTTTCCGGTTCCTCTTTTCCTTTTCCGTTACACGGAAACTTGTGTTGATTATTCCAAATCCGCTTTCGTGCGTTGTGTCAACTTAATCAGTTCTTAACGACAATCTTCGTTCCTCGATACGACTTTCAGTCTCTTCGTTTGTCGAATACCTTCCAAAAATAGAGGAAAGGGTTTTTCCCGAAAAATTTAAAGAAAAAAGACATGGCCAATCGATATGCTTAAACATTTGCTGAATCTGGACGACCGTTTATTAGAGCGATACAATTGATATCCGGCTTGTTTCGAGTTATTTAATCTCCACGCCTTTTTCAACATCATTTTCTTTTTCCATTATTCTAGTCTCTTCAGAAAGTATAAAAATAATTTAGTTTTCCTGTTTTTAATTTTTAATACATTCCTTCCGATTCCTACGACCTTATAATACTCTTTGGAATCCACTTTTGTATCGTTAAATATTTTAGCATAACAATTTAGAATATGCAGGAAACAATTGTATATATTATTTTATATCCTATTGTTGCTAATTCTAATTTTGTATTCTGACTAACGTCTAAAGCACTTTTTATTAATGAAAGATAATTATCAATGAAACTTGAATTATACTGAAGAAGATTTATTAAATACATAGAACTATAAAAAAGAAATAAAAAAAATATAAAATGGCTACAATTTATCCATCATACACGATATGTCCATTTTAGCGTTGCAAGCAATTTTTTCTTCACTTTCGTTCATTTGTATATATATTTGCGATGATACCATAGTTTATGGATGCACCTCCAAAAATCTAGATGATCAGAGCCTGGTAACTGAACTCTCCGCTGATCGAGCTCTCACAGATCAACGGTGGAAAGACTAAATTGTAGCATTCGCTAACGAAAAGACACTAAATTTACACCAGTCCTTCATTACCACCGAAAAGACACTAAATTTACACCAGTCCTTCTCAGTGGTTATGCTCTCCATGAGGCTCTTTGCCTCGAACGTCTGTTAAGATTGTTGTTCACTCGAGACCCCGAGTGAAACTCGTATATTCATACTATCGCTGAAGATGCTAGAAGAACGGTCGATTCCTTGTGTCGCTCCAGAATGTTCCTGACTCTGCCTGCTATGACGCGATTCTGACAAGCGTCAGATCAGACCAAAAAATGGATTATTGCTACTATATCTGGACTTGCCTAGTTCTCACTAACCAGCCAGTTCAAAAACGTTTACGCGGCCTTATGGCTGATAAAATATTTTCCATTCTCCTACCCCTTTCCCACGGTCGAAAAGTTAACCTCTCACTACACTACCATTATGTTCATGCAAATATTCAGACGAGCTATATTCCTCAGTTCCACAAATACAGCTCTTTTCTCTGCTAAAACCCGCCATGCCACGTACACAAGATCGAATCGTGTTCATTTCCTTCGCATTCCATTAGTAAAGAAGAAGTTCCATTCAGACAGCTCTTTCTTCAGAACTGTTGCTTTGCGGAACAGACACCCGAGTGGATGATTCCCCGATCATTACAGTCTTCAAATCTATGGTCAACCGTTATCTATCTTCCATACCACTATAATATGCATTTCTTACTGCCAACCTTTACGACATCGCAACAACCTTATTCTGTAACCCTCTACCTTGAGTCTCTCTTGGGCCGTATATTAGGGGAATAATAGTATGAAAAGAATAATCGATACTCTTATCAGACTGTGTATCACAATGGATAAATTATGCTTCGTATAACCGTACATCAGCTGCTTTCCAACACAATAATGATGATCAACCAAATAATAAGCAAATATAACAAGTTAACCGAGAAAGAACAGACATGACTGGGTGGCAAAGGTGATTACCTGGGAACTGTGCAAGCGACAATATTCTGAACTCATATTCCAATGGTATATACAGAGACTAGAATCTCTCGAAGAGAATAAAAGACAGAAATCCATTTTGTCTTTGATATTCAAACGTTCACAATGCTGGATCCGGTGGACGTAAACTAAAAGAAATCATTGCACGCAGTAGAACTTGCTATACAGAATGACTACAGAGCAAGTCTAAAGCTAAGTGAAAACATAAATATCTCCATCTTCTTCGGAGACTGTAGGAATTGTGGGACATAAATGTGACTGTCATACCAATTGTAATCGGAGCACTGGGAGCAGCTGCGAAACGTCAAGGAAAAGTCTGCAAGAATTCGAAATTAAAGGTTGGTGATATCAATGAAGGCAGAATCCTAAAGTATTGAAGAGACATGCTGCCACTTAACCTCCTTTATCAGTCCCACAATGAGTAATAGTAACAATAATAATATAAAAGTGGTACAACTTCAGGAAGAACATATCTCCTAAAGAGAACAAAATAAAAAATTGTATATTCCAGGAAGACACAGTATCTCCACAGATAGGAATGATGATGCTGCTCAGTTACAAAAGTTAGCAAAATTGTAATATAAGATATAGATTTATAAAATCATGAGAAAAGACGAAACATTTAATTTGGCAAATATTATGCAATCTTTGCCAAATTAAAAAGACATTGGAAACCTTAATACAAACAGTCAGGCTCTGAAAGTTAAAATATTGCAATGGAGTTTGTAATCGAGAAGAATGCAATAATGGTGAAGAATTAGGGAAAAGAAGAAACAATTGGAGAATGATAGAAGCGAATATAATTAAGTAAAAAAAGAAATTAAGGAAAAGTTTGGCAGAACGAGAACAATATTTGAAACTAGTTTCTTCGGATTAAGGAAAATATTCTTGTTCAGTGTATTAAGTTTAGGCCTCGATGAAGATGACTGACTGTAGCAGCCAGCATTCAAGTACAGGCTGATCGGCGCCTTTAAATATCTGTGCTTTTTTTTACAGTAAAGTACAAGGCCCGGAACCACTCGAAATAGAGGGTAACGTTAGGAGGCAATTTGTGCGGGTAGGATTGGAACAGATTAAGATTGTAACGATCGGGGAAAC